ATCCTGTAACTCCTGATAATCACCCAGAGTTCATCGAGCAATGACATACGTCCTAGAAAATATTAAAAATCCTGATGAGCTGGACCGATGACGCTACAAAAAATTGATGCATTTCTTTCTCTGTGGAGTCTTACGGTTTGGAAATAACATTTTGGAATTAATTTGTCGTTCGACAGTGGCATCTGGTGAACGAGGGTGATGAGGGATGGGTTCTGGAAGGTTCTGAGGGGCATGGCGATTACGTCGAGTGATTGGGCCCGAGTGGAGCGACAATGACGCAACTGGGGCCTTCCGTCAGGGCCGCGTCCGTCACCCCCATCGAGTTGAAAAAAACAAATTTCTGGCCTCCTAAATTAAACGTGGAAGGAGCTGCCAAGGTTGGGGTCGATGGCCAGCTACAAAAGGCGTAAACAAGTAAACAACATTTTTCATTGGAAGTGGCTTTTGGAAAAATTCCCAGAAGGTTCGCTCGATGGAAAAACACTCGATGATATTCCGATTGAATATCGCTTTTCTACCTGCACCATCCAACGGAAAAGACACATCTCGTGATTCATCAAGGGCTATGCACCGCTCTCCGTCATTTTTCATTTGGTTTTTCCCCAAATTTTCTCTTTGAAAGCTTCCAGGAAATCGGGTAAGGATATTTACCACTTGTTATTCTGATGATTTTACGCTTGCGTTTGTTAGTCCTGGGATCTTATCGCTCATATTCGTGCAACTAAGCATTCCGTGGAAAAGGTTCAAGTCACACAAACAATTACGCCATCCAAAATGGTTTTAGGATGTCATGGGCTAAGACATTTCTGTTGGCACGTCACAGGTTTGGGACGCGTTGGAGTTCGTCGACGAGACAATTTCAGATCATTTTAGTCATCCTCACTTCCAATTAGGTGAGGTTGACACAAAGTTCTATTGAAAATAGTCATTAAGTTTTTGAGTTACCTTCAATGATCATTCAATAATAATTGATGTTATCATGCACCCTGGGATTTTCATTAGATTGACAACTCAGGGAAATTATAAATTACTCAGGGAATTTTACACTCGGGGATTTGAGGCGTATTTAGTATAATTATGGTGAATTTAATGAAGTGTTGAATTTTGTCTAAATCCTCGTGAAGGCCACTCTCGAGGGAATTAATGGTATTTTCCCTGAAATTCTGAAAAATTTGAGATATAAAACTGAGTTCTCTGACCTCATGAGACATTAATAACCGAATTCCAGGAGATGATCAGTGGAAAAATGAGAAATGAAGGGAGGAGAGGTATCTTCCGCATTAAAAAACCATTCTGGCCTGCGAGATGAGTTTTCTCGATGTATAAATTATCGCAAATACGACTTGGGCACTCGTTCAGTGACGCACCATGGAATTTGTGCAGAGACCTCGAGAGCGGCCAACGACATCCAACTATAATCACAGTTGCCTATACGCCAGTTAATGTTGTGAGAAACACTATCGGAAATGTTAGTGATACGAATTTTTCATCTTCAATCCGTGGAATCGTCAGCGGATTGAAAGTTCTCGGGAATTCGTTGAGTCGGAGAACAAATATCTTTATAATTCAGTCCGGGAAGGATCCTCACTAATTTTCTAATTGGTGGACCAAATGTTCTATTATTTTTGTTTGAATTAGAGTTTTTTGGGCGTAGATTCTCCATTGTTGTGCAAAAATTATTCGACAGAGATTTATGACATATTGGGAAAACAGTCCTAGAAAAAGGACGAATTTACAATCGGGACTCTAGGATATTCCCCCAAACGAAAATCTCAGAGACGAAATGCTCTGAAAAAAAAACTACCTGGTAAAATAGTGATGAAAATAAATTTATGAAGTTGTATTCTCGATGGCTGAAATTTCAAAATTCAGAATTTTCGAAAAATATCAGGAGAATATGAGAATCAGAGAGGTATTCACTGAAATTT